ACCACCAGCACAGAGGGGGAATATGCACACCAGTCCTTCGAAAATTTTTTGCATTTTATAGGTTTCAAAACTTAAGTTTTTGCCGTAAACAAAAATTTAGTTATCTTCTTCTTTCCAACCATAAGTAGAAAATAATAGAGTAAATTGTACACAGCAAATCAGAATATTAGTCTCTGTAATGGAACAGAGAACAACGCATTCCTTCACTCTAGGATATCAAGGAACAGAATTAATTTCTACCTGTACACATTACAATTACTAGGGAAATAAAGCCTAAAAAAGCTCTTGACATAAAGTCATTTTCCTGCAACTGGACTATGCACAAGATTCTGCAAATTGGTTGCATGTTTCATCTTTGTTTCATCATTAACAAAACCAAACCAAAAAAAAAAGGGGGGTTAGAGCAATCTATCTAGACATAGAGGAGAATGACCAAAGCCTATTAAGTTGCAACAATTATGTTTCTTTAATAGCTAGGTAACTTTGTTAAATCCACGTTTTATCCCTGACTTACACAAAAATCCGAGAAGACGAGAGACATGGTCCAAACTCTTAAGCACAAGTATTTGAACATCAATAAAACATTGCTTATGGTAATGATACACAATGCTAATTGTGCAGTCTATAAAATTGACTTGCTTCCACAAAGCGAATTATTCCTCTTCCAAAGCTTATTGAAAAAAGAACCGCCAATATTTACAGTAGTAAGTAGTATGTAGTAATGAAGAAGGTGCCTTTAACTGAAACTTCAACTCTACAGTGTTAAAGTGTTTTTAGATAACCATGCTAATTGCAAGGAAACAGAGGCACAAACAGCAAACAACTTGTCCAAAGTCACTAAGAAAACAAATGACAGGAAGCAAAAGATACGAGCCTCATACTTTCTAATCCACTAACCATACCTATTTGCCAAGGATTTCTTCAAGTATAGGCTACTATTCAACTTAAGGTTTTCAAACATAGAATAATAACGCAGCACAACAGTTGCAGTGGTGAAGGGCAATATGCCCAAAACAAAACGACCACACAACAAACATGGAAAGTATTTTCTTTTCAGACTTTATGACACATACTCTATTTTGTATGGAATCAGTGTGGTAAGTGTAAGTAAAAATATACATGTTTATTCTAACATCAGTTGAGGCCACATTAATTCTGAGAAAAGCATTCACAGAAAAGCATTCACATGGTTCATACACAGTATGACTGAGTCTGCAAATGAAAGAACGATTCTTTTAGAGCTCAGAAAAACTTGCCAGTCAGACACTTCTGTCCCCTTTCCTCAGTTATCCACACCCAGAAATGGCCTCAGAGTTTAAAAAAAAAAAAAAAAAAAAAAAAATCTTCTGAATAAAGATGTATTTATGGCACTAAGTACACCTGACAGAAAAAGAAAAATGTATTCTTCAGAAGAATAAAAAAATAACTTCATGACACCCACATCAACATTTACACCTTTTTGTTGTACATTATTTTAACACACTCCCACAGACATTTGTCCCTTGAGTCCATTGACAAGGTTTCATGCTATTCACAGGCATTAAATCAGCCCATTCATTCTTTGCAAATAAGAAGAGAGAAGTTCCTCAGAAACATAGAGAGCAAAGGCTTTCAGTGATTCACTCAGTCAAATTTGAACTACAGGAACAATTGACTGTGCAGGCAGCTAGACTGGAGACACAGCACTGACATCAAAACCCACGAGGCATTCATCTGAGGAATTCTTAAGTCAATTATTCCTGCATATTCTGTGCCTGTGTGCTTTTTATTGTGCTAATAGTGAATCCTGTGACTTACCAGTAGGATTTTTTGTCTCATCTGTTTATAAGAGCAGTTGCAATCTAACAATGCCACCCATGGGAAGAACTCAAAGCTGTATAGTTTTGGTACTACATGAGAGAAGAGTTCCTTATCAGTTTGGGTCACATGATGGTAGATGACTAATTTTAAGGCATAACATATGAAAACAGCATTACATAGTGGTACAACTCCTGGACAGTCCTCCTTGGACACCCACATATATTGATTTAGTTGTGTATCAAGATACTTCCATTACAGCAATTGCATGGAATATTTCAATACTATCACAGAGTTAATCTAGTTTTACGTATTTATCGTATCTAGGAAATCTAGAAGCAGGGAAAAAGGTCAATCCTGTAGTTTGGCTCCAGGATTCAGATGCCTGGAGTGCTATTTCCATTTCTAACACATCTTACATATGACAATAAAGAAGTTGTTCGGTTTCCCAGGGCTTTTTCCTACTCTGCTTATACAGAAGCCTGTTCGTAGCGCTCTAATTTCCAACTTTCAAACTGCATACTACTTTTCTTTTTTTCTTTTTCTTTTTTTTTGTTATGTTTTAAACAAACTAAAACAGCACATTTAGAAACATCCAATTTTCTTGCTTTCCAAGTACAAAAAATTTACTCCTGAAAGAATCACAAAATCCTCAGTGGACTTTTACATTCTCAGATTATCATAACTGATGCAGTGCAGATTATATCTAAGCGAGTCTTTAAATTGTGACCAATAGCATCTATATAATTAATGACTAATAAGTTTATATAACTATAACTCACGGCATTACTTATCTGCAGAATTTCTATTTAGCAACATCAATAATAACAGTAGTTATTTACAATAATAGTAACCAGAAAAACAGATATGAGAATACATACTTGGATGAAAGTTGTTTAATTGAAGATTTTACATTAGTTACAGCAGCTACTCTGCTGTTTACACATGTAAGTTTCTCTCAGCCTGCCTTATTTTTTACCTATTTTTTCTGACCTGTTTGTTATAAAGCATGTTGTACACATTAAAAAAAAAAAAAAAAAAAGTCTTACAAACCAAAGATTTTTTATTTTGTGCAATATATGCATTTTCCTGAAAATGTCTGAAACGTCTCCATGTAAATAGAAGGACTGTAAAATTTTCTAATTATTTCAGGGAACGGTTGTTTCATCCATTACAAGGTTCTTCACCCAGCTTTTAGAAGAATTCTTGATCAAAAACAGCACCTTCACAACTGTAAGTCAATGTACTGTAACATATGTTTTAGGGAAAAAGAAAGAAAACTGGTTCAGCAGATGGCTTAAGAGATGGTGGCTCAAGAGTACTGAGCACACAAGGTCACTTCATTTTGAGGAAGACAACTGGCCACTTTCAAGTGGGTAACTTTGCTTAACTGCTGGTAACACCAGTCTCAAAAAAATCAAGCTCATACTGTCCCTTCTGACACTTCTACCCTGGCGAGACAGCATCCTATAGTTAACTTAGCATACAGAGAGGCCAGCTCATCCGTATGTATGGGATGACTAGATCAGAGAACTAGTGCCAAACAAAAAGTTGAACAACAGAGTTCCACCTATCACAAACTGTTTCACTCTATACGCAATTTCTAATAAATGCGTAAGAAAAGAATCGCTTTGAAGGCTTCTGTCCTGCTTTCAAACTTGCCTAAAACTGGCTGATGCATACAATTTTTAGTAGCTAAAGGTAGGAAGATGTCAAACCACGTAGACCCTAGTTTCCATAGGAAACTAAAAAAGCACAGAAACGATCATTAAATCTTGACTGTAAGAAAAAAACACAGACGTCAGTGTCTGTTTCAGACTCCCAGTGCCTATATTTTCCAAGACAAATCTCCTCTGAGGGGCAGGTATAGCAGAGCTTGCACACTCCTTACAAAATCAACCACTAGAGAACACATTATCATGAGCGTTCAGCATGCCTGCTTTTATCCAAGAGAGGGCAGTGGTGAACAAACATACAGAGTGAGGAAAAATACACGGCATGCTGCAAAAAACTTAGTGAACAAAGTGGACTTTCCAGCAATGCCAGAATTTAACGGGAAGGAGATTTTCACTGTCATCAGCTCACAACATAACTTCATAATATCTCCAATTCTGCTGGAAATACCATGCGAGTTACTCTGCAACACAGTTTTTTAACCTCCGACAGAGAACATGGACATGAACGCAAAAAACAAAAACAAAAAAAAAAAAAAACAAACCCACAAAACAAACCAAGGCAATAGAGAAAGCAGATGAATGATCTTCAGTTTGACAGTAACAGAAAAACTCTACTTTCACACACACACACACACACACAAAAAAAAAAAAAAAAAAAAAAAAAAAAAAAAAAAATCAAGGATTTTGAATAGAAAAAAAGGCTCCAAATCATTGACCGCTATTACGTGCTAGAAAAATCACCAAATTCTCCATATTCTCCATGTTTTCCATATTTCAAAGACCTGTTGCTAGAACATGATGTCCACAAGAGTTTACCTAAAGTAGGATTCATCACTCAAATATAGCACTAGAGCTGTTATCTCATCTTAACTATTCCTCCATACCAAAAACAGTGACTTGGAAAACGACTGAGTGAAAGCTGTGGTTTAATTAAACACATTGGTGATCCTAAGCCCAAAATGGCTGATTCCTTCCCTATTCTTTAGCTGCAGGTCAGATATGCCATTCACAGGTATGGTGAATTTTGTATATATGCACTGGCACGTATATACTATAGGCCCCACTGTACGCCTACAGGTGCACCACAAAAACACACTGCCCCGATCTTGTTGCACTGGAACAGATGCCTGCCCGTGTCAGATTGCACAGCACAAAAGCTGGACATCTGCTGGATCAGGAACTGAGCTGCGAGCTCTGCACCTCTCTCTGCGCGCCCGTTAGGTACCTAAGCCCCGAAGTGTGTGCTGCATTTGACTCCACTTCCACAGCCCCTCCAAGCAAGGGGAAGCAGGAGGACAAGGGCAGCAGCGGATATCGCGGCCCGGCAAACGCCCGCCACTCACCAACCCTCAAAACGCATGCGCGGACCCTCCAGCCGCGCCACCTCCCCGCCGCGGGGCGCCGCCGACCACCGACGGGGGGAGCGGCGGGGAAGGGGCGAGAAAAGGGCGTTGTTCCCTCTCTTCCCTTCCCCTCTCTTTCCCTCCCGCCCCCCGACCCCGCCCCCTCCCCCTCCTCTCGGCTTACCCCGCCGTCCCGCTCGCGCCCCCGGTTTGGAATTTTCGCGCGTTCCGCCGCCGCGCAGCCGGCTGTGAAGGCCGCGCGCGTGCGCAGGGGGCGGAGCCGGCGGTGGTGGGATGTGGGTGGTGCGGCGGTAGTGGCCCGGCTGTGCGTCGGGACGCTACGCGGGGGTTTATGCCGCTCGGGCTTCCCTTTGCTCTGCGCGGGTTGAAACGATGGCTCGTCAGCCCGCGGTGTGCCTCACGACCGAGGGCCCAAACATTTCTAATCTGTGTGTCACTAGACACTGCTCGTGGTGCACCAGCACTAAAACCTGTGTGGGACTTGTGTGTGCATCTGAGAGTGAACTGGGCTCTGTGGCTGTTGGTATAGGGGGGCTAGAGATGCTGAGGTGACCTCAATAGATGGGTGTGCCTGGCCTGTGCCAGCTTGCAGACTCTCAAGGAATAAGGTCAATTTTGACTTCTTTGGTCAGCCTAAGTGCTAAATCTGCTAAACCTGTTTGTTTTGTCAACACCAACAGACCTTGTAGCCTGTGTGGAAATGTGTGAATAGTGTGAGCACTGAAGTTCCGTAGATAAGAAATTTGGGGTTAAATAAAGATTCGGGTTTGAAAGAAATATACAGGGCAGCATGCCCTCAAGTTGTTAAAAAAGAGACTGAGTAGTAACATAAAAGAGCTGCATTATGTGATGTAGCATTCATATTCAGCACGAGGATGAGCACTAAGATGTGCTCTGGAGTACTGCATCCAGGCTTGGGGCTCCCAGTACAAGAAAGACGCAGAGCTCTCGAAGCAGGTCCAGAGGAGGGCCAGCCACTAAGATGAACAGAGGGCTGGAGTATGTCTCCTATGAGGAAAGGTTGAGGAAACTGGGCTTGTTTAGTTTGGAGAGGAGAAGGCTCCGGGAAGACCTCATTGTGGCCTTCCAGTACTTGAAGGGAGAATATAAACAGTAGGGGGAATGACTGTTTACAAGGATGGATAGTGATAGGACAAGGAGGAATGGTTTTAAACTAAGATAGGAAAGGTTTAGGAGGTTTAGATATAAGAAGCAAGTTTTTCACATAGAGGGTGGTGATGCATTGGAACAGGTTGCCCAAGGAGGTTGTGGATGCCCCATCCCTGGAAGCATTCAAGGCTAGGCTGGATGTGGCTCTGGGCAGCCTGGTCTAGTGGTTGGTGACCCTGCACGTAGCAGGAGGGTTGAAAATAGATGATCACTGTGGTCCTTTTTAACCCAGGCCATTCTATGATTCTATGAGAAACTTGCGGGAAATAGCTGCAACATTTCTGCCAAACTTTTTGTTCTACCAACAATTAGTCTGAATTAGCAGGCTTACAAATATGAGATATTCGAGAAGATTTATCCTCTGCATAAACATTTGTCCAGCACTGCCGAAGTTGTTTTCCACTTTGAATGTAAGCTGAACTAGATAAAAACTGCAAATACCTTACTTTCATTCAGCTTTCGTAGTCTTCCATTCAGATTTTGCATGATGTGTCATCTTTTCCACTCATTGGTGCTTTCAGTTTTCAGTAAAATGAGACACAATCTCCTTCCATACAAATACAAATTCAGCCTACCCTATATAGTAATAGCTTCATAATTCCTGCATTACTTTCTTTTCATTTAGTTTTACTGAATTGGCACCTGATGAATTAGGAGGGCTCTGCTGTAGAAGTTCCAGAGTACTTTTTTGGGAAATAGCAATTGCTCATCAGGCAGTCCACCAAGATAAACTGGCTAGGATGTTTCCCACACATCCAGCACATCTGCACAGCACAGCTCAGAGTTTTGGGTGTGACACCCATATTCACGCTGTGAATCCAGTTCATAACTCATACAAGTCTTCAATCATTCTATGCCTTCCCGTTCTTGTCAAATGAAAACATGGGAAAATTTCTATTTGCTTGCTATAATCAATTGTGTCAACACTTCCTTAAATGTTAACAAAATTAATTATTTAATTGCTGAAACTGTTCTAACACAGTGAAATAAGTTTGAGTGCAGGAGGATGAATAACATCATTTTTTTGTATTCTGACTGGGTATGTTCCATGACTGTCCAGTGTTTATTTCTATCCCACAGTCAGTGAGTAGCAAAAAACTGCCATTGATAATCAACCTGACGCTTATACCATTAATAGAGCCAGTTTTCATCTTCCTATGCAAGGATCCATATTCCCATTTGCATGCACAACCAAGCGTATGGGCAAAGATCATTGTAATGTAACAGAAACTATGAAAAATAAACCCAGGAAGAAAAGGGAAAAAAATGAAAAAAAGAAAGAAAAAAAAAAGAGATTTAAGAAAGTAATGAGAAAGAATATGGAAGACAGATGTGTAGAAATAGGAGTAAAAGTCATAGCAAATTACTAATATGCTTGAATTTGCATAGGTGAAAAAAATACTTGCTAGTATTACCTTCAAATTACCCTTATTTTAAGTAGCCAAAAAAAAAAAAAAAAAAAAAAAAAAAAAAAAAAAAAAAAA